ATGATTTCTACCAAGAAAGGAGAGACGGCGTCTACCACAAGACGAAGGTCTAGTTAGTACCCATAGCTGCGCGGCAGACAGAATATGATACGAACCAACACACCATGAGCTAAGAACTGTGCGGAGCAGTCTTCGGTACCTTAGACTGACTGGCTGCATGTGTCGGCATACTGCGGTCTATTGCCTACGCAGACACAAGGATTTGCTCCTACTTAGGCTAAGAGACAAATTTCCCCCCACACAAAAGCACGTCCCTCTTTGGACATGCTTGCTTAAGATACACGTTGATTTTAACAGTAGTGCAATGTGTGATGACGTTGTTTTTAAGGACTCATAATCTACCAAACACTAATTTAGGCACATTTTCACATCCCGGGTATGTATATAGATAGAGACGAAGAAGAAGGCTTGCCGATCACCGGCATCATAATTTTATTCGTCTGAGGTTTCGAACTCTTATGGGATTTCATCGTCAGATATAAAATTGTCAACGAGAACTAACTAAAGTCTGCGCCTGGGGTGACAACTCAGTCAACTGGTGTATTGAGCTGGCGCCCGCATACTTCGCTCTCCGCAGGCATCTCTGCACGGTCGACACTGGGGATTAATTGGTTTCCTCCCCCCTCGCCCCCTGAAATGGTTGATTAGCCCCTGTCCCCTATAAATGTTGCTTGTTTTTCCTTGACGCTTTTATCACTGCCGATGGACTCCCACAAGAATTCCAAAGCTCAGACGAATAAAATTGCGATTCTGGTGATCGACACGCCTTCTCCTTCTTCTCTAGCTTTCTTTAGTACACCAAAATACTATCTCAACACAGTTGTATTTGCATGTTAGCAAATTATAAAACCATCTATATGAGGCGTTGCTGCTGTACGTGCAAATGCAACTTTAATGTGTAATTCGTCCTAGTTTGACACCTCTTTTGGCGTACAGCCAATAAGGCCGCACAACTAAAACTACGAAACCCCCTCCCCTTACGATCCACATGGGTTTCGCAGAGAACGCTCGCATTAACAGTTACCACCCACGTTGTACCCGGTCCAGAATAACGTGAGAATGAACGTCTGCTTTCAATTGTACCTCCTCAGACACGCTCTGGGTGGATGAGTAATCAGATGAGCACTGACTGACCAAAGGTGCCTTGGTAATAAAACGCCGTAATTTTATTTCACTAGGCAACAGCTTCACCACTAGACAACCAGCAGATTTACAGTCTTCTCTGGATCCGTACTTCAGTCCGGAAAATCGTTAGCCATCCTTATCATCAAGATATCTTACAAAAATAAGGGATGCAATC